CCCGAACCCTTTAGAATATGGGCACTACTTCATCATACACCAAACTTGATCCTCGGGGAAAAAAATAGGAAAACTCCCGCGCATGGGTCCTTATGGCAATTGAACCCTGGTAGGCATGGGTCAAGCCATTGTTCGCTAGTTCTAATACTATGCTCTGTAGTAATAGTACTTTATCGTTTTTTAATGTTGTTAACCGCTTGTTGCCTGTTACTTGCCTAAAAAAAAACTTGTTACCTGTTACTCACACCTCTATTTACATATCTCTACGATTTGATCTCCTCGATCGAGGTACTTCACATCAGCCAGTTATCACTGGAGTACAAGACAACTGACCGGCGTCAGTTCATCCAAAGGCTTGAGTTTTATTATGCAAATCAGCAGCAAGTAAACCCAATGTCAGCAAGCACACTGGAAAAACTAGGAAACTGACTAAACAGGCTGCAGGTCAATTAGATGGGCCACACACCGTTTCAATGAACTTGATCTCCTGTTGCCGGATATGCATATGCCATGCCCATGCCCATCATTGACCACTTTCTCCACAGTATGTTACTTACCCATGCTTCTCTCTTTTTTTGTTGGGGTTACTTATGCTTCTTAATCAAGGAAGACTGTATTCACTTTTCAATCACCGGCCTCATTGGTTGAAACCAATTCAACTAGCTAAAATGAGCTAATCATTTGACCCATGTACGCGTAAGATCCGCAAATGAAGGAATGCCGAATTGATGATAACAGCGTGCGCCCTCGGCATAATTCCCCAGCGAGATCTACAGCCAGTTCATCAAATCAGGCAGAAACATGTGCACCGCCTCTGAAATCCGCAGGCTTTGGTGGTGGGCGTAGTACTTGGCTCAATAGATTAAACGGAACACTTGGCTAAACTATTCGGCCGAGTCAAATGGTTACATGCGCGCGCCGATGGATTCCGCGCCCCGGGTGCAACATGTGGTGAAACGGTGGATGGGCATGTGCCCGGATTCGAACACGAACTGGACTTTCCCATGCAACAAACCCTTACACTATGTGCATCCCAAAGAGTCTAGGGCAGGCCTGCTTCCCTGTATCTGTCACTGCTATTTGTTGCGGTGAGTTAAGGCTTGGTCAGTTCGTCCTCTGCAGTTCAGCTGTTCAACGTGCCAAGGTCACCAGCCACATCCATACTCCATAGAATGCTGAAGTAGCTGCAACAAACTATGATGTATGTGAGACCACGTTTGGAACACTATGATTTAAATTTTTTGCCACTTGCTGTCGTTTGAGACGCTGTAATTTGATTTTGCGCAGAAGTTTGGCTCATCCGGGTTATGCCTGCCATGTTTTCTGGCCGGGTGGTTTCTACTGCGTGAATTGACTTGCGGCATGCCTAAAGCTAACCAAACATTCCAGTCCTTAGGTCAGACGAGATCGTGAGCACATCTGGACTGCACACGGTCATGTGCCCATGATGATGCCTCAGCCCACTGAACTTCCGGATCTGGCTAGCAAGTCACAAGTCAATCCATGAGCCAATTAGCATGGCAAGCTAGCTTAGCTAGGAAAAAGGCTTCATGTGCAGCCATGGCACGGGGTCTCACACTCACATGCCAAGGTATTACGTACCAGCAACGCATCTCGTCTCACATTCCAAATATCGTTTTGCATTAAGGTCAGGGTTTCAGGGTACCATTACTAGAGGGAAAATGCACGTGGGTATGAGTAAAATTAAATCACCGTGCCCCCGGTCTTTTGGCAACAAATGAAGCACCTGTATCTAAAACTCATCAATCACTCAACCCATGATCATCAAAAGAAAGAGTTCAAGCTAGCAAAAGCTTGCGCAACTGAGATAAGGCATTTGGAGCATGTGTGCACCACACTAGAATTTAAGAGTAGGCTCATGCGACGACAGCCAAGAGATCCGACTCCCGGCAGAAGCAGTGCTTCTCTTCTGTTCCCAGGTCCACCTGTAGGAATGGATCAACACAATGAACAGTCACATAACAATGAACCAGGAGGCGTTGCCGCCATGACAAACCCACAAAAAACATTCAGTTACACGGGAGACACTAGTTTACCTCGTAAGCGTTTATGTCAGAGAAGAGAACCTGCACCAATCACAAGCAGAACATGGTCAGAAAATCGCAGGTGCTAAATACTAATATTAGTATAAAGGAATTGTAAGTAAATTGTAAGTAACGTGTGGCAAGTGTGAGAGCAGGAAGCATTGCAGATACTCCCTCCGTTCCTAAATATTTGTCTTTTTAGAGATTTCAAATGCACTAACACATACGGATGTATATGGACATACTTTAGAGTGTAGATTCACTCATTTTGCTCCGTATGTAGTCACTTGTTGAAATCTCTAGAAAGACAAATATTTAGGAACGGAGGGAGTACATAATAATAAACTAACAGACAGAAAATTGAACAACCAAGCAGAGGTGTTATCAGATATATGCAGCATACTGTTTTCATATCATCTCACAGGAGGATAAAAACAGCAAAAAAGAACAACATGCACTGCTGTATTTCTCCAAAACCATACTTAGTTTAACATGACATTGATCAGAAAACATAAACACATTTGGCATTCAAAGCATCCCTGTTCAATGCACACACAAAAAATATGCATGTCAGTTTCTTTCCTAGAAGGCTCAACACACCTTGTCCTATAATATAGGCAAACCTTGCATGTGCTAGTTGCGTAACTAAAGAAAGATATGCATACACCACCAAGTCAATAAAAGGAAAGCGAATTTCTCATGTAGGAAGCTTTGAGAAGGCTTCACTGATCATGGAGGTCATTTTCAGCTAATTTGAGGCAACTATTCTTCACGGTATATGGTGTTGAACATAAAAATATAGTGTGATTGCTTGGTGGTTGCGCCTTGCAGGTTACCATGAGCGCTTTTTTCAGACAACAAGCCTTGTTTATATTTCAACATGGTTATGCTAGCCCAGCAATGGCCACTAGCTCACTTTTTAGCCACTAAAGGGCAGTATCTAGACATGGAGCGCATTTTCTTATAGATGAAGTGTGTTGTCACATCTATAACTTGTGTTGGTAAATACAGGCAAAAGCAAGCAACCCAAACTGAAAATAACCACCATTCGTTTTATGCAACACTAACATCCCAACTCCCAATTTTCATTAACATAATTCCAGAATCCAAAAGAAGCAGCACTGCAGGAAGATTATATGGATGCTATATTAACAGCACAAGGACCAACGTGCAAAGCATACACTTGCTTCGTGTGCAAGCATTCGGTGCTCCTTTGTTTGTGAAAAGCTTGGACAGGCATTAAAAGGAGGCCCTTGAGAGAAAAAAAATCCGCTCACCTTCTTTCCAGCTTCAACTTCACTAACATCAACACCGACCGATAAAATCTGCCTCAACAGAGAAAGATTGTGAGTGTAACCTGATAAAGTTACTACAGCAAAAGCTTATAGTGACCTAAAATGTTACCTCGCCCATCAAATATCTCTCGAATTTAACAGCAGATTTTGGTAGCAGGACTCCCCCAGCAGATTTCTGCAGTTCAAACAGTTCCCTTAAAACAATCAGCCAGACGTGGAAAAAAAATCTCCTATAAACTTTACTCGTAACATAAAATAGAAAGCACGTTAAATCACCAAAATATGCAGTGATATAGCCTAGGCAAAGAAAATATTGCTTCTATACAAGTAGACAAACAGTGATAATGATTTAGTGCTACTCTCTAAGAAATGGAATTTTCCAGCCTACTGGATCCACAGCATGTCCAACTACTTACACGTACGTATAAGCATTACGAAACACCCGATTATTATTTCTTACTATCCCAAGGGTATAGGGCTCGATGGTCGTATCACCACAAGGTTATGTATTTTTCTATAAGCTCCGTGCATATACGATCCAAGTTCCAGCTTAACTGAATTGAAACAAGTTCAGAAGTGGGGAAACACTACAAATTGTGAAGGATATAGCTGGAGCCCAAATTTAGCGTTTCACTATCTCAAAGCGTGACCACTTATGACAGCTTTTTTTTTTTACAATTTCGGTGTCATTTGTTCACCAGTGTGCAGCGCTATAGTTGGAAGGATTCATTCGACTAGAAATCTAGAAGCACTGCAGGTGGGAAATACACACCACCAGCCAGCAAGCAACCAATGGGAACAAACAAATAAACAAAGTAAATTCGGCAAACCAAAAGACACTGGTTCGCAGCGGAGAGACCTCTGGGATAGTCTCGAGACGGACGAGCACCCGGTCGGACTGCGGCTCCACCTGACAAAACGAAGACCAGGAGAATCAGCAGAGGGTCAGACCTCTGAACCACAGATCCTACCAGAAAGGTAAATGATTAGTTGAGCAGACGCGACTCCACGGCGGCGCGGCGGCGTTCACCTTGGAAGGGTCGCACTTGATGGCGGCGTGCACGCGCACGGAGGATGCGGCGCGGCGACCGGGGGCGACCGGCCTGCGGCTGGCGCTTCCGGCGGCGCCGTGGAGGAGGAAGGGCGAGGCGGAGGCGGCGGCGGCGAGGAGGGAGGGGGCCATTGGGAGGAGGATGCTGGTGGATGCGCCCGGAAGGTTCTAGGGGGGGAAGGGGAGGGTTTTGCTCGGTTGCTTCGCTCAGCGGGGAGATGGGGGAGAGGTTCCTCTTATCTGCTTTCCTTTCGCAGGAGGAAGACGGCAACGGATGGGTTGTTTCTTCTCGACGGTTCCGCCGAGGTTTAACGGGCCGTCGTGTTAAGTATCGTTCCTATCAGATTCATGGCCCTTGTGCTGAAAAAGATCAAATTCATGGCCCGGTTGTAGCACCAGGATTCGAACTGGGTCTCCCCGATCCCGATGGCAATCCTATTTGAGCTGCAGGCGCCGGTTATCACTGTTTCTGCAATCCGGGGTCCTCACGGTGATTAGCGTGATGCACTAACCACCCCACCGTCTAGTCTAAGTTGCTCAGCTACAGCTTCTTCACCTTTTCTACTTACGTCCTTTTTTTTCTATTTCTTTTTTCGTCTTTCTTTTTTTAATCTGAACGGTCTTGTTCTTTTTTATTCTTTTTCCTTTTTTGTTTTTTCTTTGGAATGGTTTTGTTTGGTTTTTTATTCTTTTTACTTCTTTCAATTGCTAATTTGAACGATTTTTTTAAAATTGATGAACCTTTTTCAAAATCGATGAACTTTTTTCACAATCGTTGAACTCTTTTCATAGTTCATAAACTCTTTTAAAATTCGATGAACTCTTTCCAAAATCGATGAACTTTTTTTCAAAAATAATTACTTTTTTTTCCAAAATCAATGAAATATTTTTAAAATTCAATGAACTTTTCTAAAATGAATGATCTTATTTTCAAATTTACCTTTTCAAAGTAATTTATATTGATTATACATTGGGCAGTTTTCTTGTAGTATACAAGAGTTAGGATGGTCTAGTCGTTATTGCGTTAGGCCTCGGATGTTGAGGTGTTGGGTTTGAATCCCAACGATGCCATATTTTGATTAGTTCCCTTTTTTCGCGTTTCCTTATTGAGTAGTTGGTGGGCCGGCCCACTAGGCGTCGCTTGCGAGCGCCGGTAGCGCCATCAGGCGCCTGCAGAGCTCCCCTGGCATTCGGTTCCCCCGAACCGATCGGTTCGGTGCTTCGGGTTGTCTAAAGATTCGATTTTCAGATTTTGTTGACCGAACGGTTTCCTAGAAAAATACTAACCGAGAGTTTCGGTACTGTAGACTTCGGTTCCGGTCTCAGTTATGACCGATAAGCGCCAGATTTGAGATTTGGCTCAAAAACAAAACAGAATCAGTCTCGAGCACAACTGACAAAAAGAAAATTGTGCAAGCAACAGAGATCCAGGCAGCCAGCACATATGACATCGCCGAATATCGATTATAGGAAAAATACACTCTAATTACAAGCAGCAATTCATGCGCCGCCTCCGTTACCTCATCCATATCTGCCCCTGCTCTTGAAAATCAGATCCCCAAATCTGTGAGACCGTGCGGCTCCCCGCTCTCGTCTTTCCACCGTCCGTCACATACATCTCGAATCTGCACATCGGGCTTCAATTGAGGAGATGGTTGGCGCCTCGCCGGTCATCTTCCATCTTCACGAGCAGCAGTATCGCTGTCGTCAGCGGGGTGGAGAGGCCAAGAGGTGGATGTGGAGCACGCCGTCGGCCGCGGGGATGTGTAGAAGTAGAAGGTAGGGGGCGGCGGTGGAGCGGCAGCTAGGTTACGGTCGTGGCCTCGTGGGTCGAGGTGCCGATGCGGAATTGCGGTGCTACAGGGATTGCGAGAAAGATTTATCGTTCTCCAGGCCCAGTAGTTGGGCTGTGTGGGCTGTTGCTACGTGGGTTTCTCAAGAGTCGATCGATTTCTTCGGTACTTCGGTGTATTCGGTTACTCAATACGTACTCCCAAATTGACCTAAGGAAGTTCGGTTTTCCAAATTGGCTGACCGAATTTATGACTAAAGAATTCGGTTTCGGTGCCTTCGGGTTCGGTCACGGTTAGTTCGGTTCGGTACTTCGGTCATCGGTTTATATGCCCATCCCTACCCGACGGTGTGTATTGAGGCGTTCACGTTTAGTACCAGGGTGCAATCTAATTATAGGGAAAAAAGTCGGTTTTTATTTCTTTTTCCAGGGTTTTTGTTTTCCTTTTTTTCATTGTTTATTCTTCATTTCATTCTACATTTTTACTGATTTGTTCTTTCTTTCATTTTCTCCATTTCTTATGTTTTCTTCGGTTTCTATTTCCTTTGTTTTTTTCTCTTCTCCATTTTTTCTGTTTTATTCAGTTTTCTCCACTTTTTTTGTTTCTATTTTTTCCTTTTCTTGCACTTGTTTCTTCAGTTTTTTTGTTTTATTTTGTTTCTTTTTCATTTTTCATTTCTTTGGTTTTCTTGGGCTTTTGGTTTTCATTATACATTTTTTGTATATGTCAACAACAATGTTCTAATACAAGTTTAACACTTTTTCAATAGAAATTTAACATTTTTCTAATATGTGATCAACATTTTTCCTATACACGTTTTTCAAATGCTTAACTAACATTTTTCAAATAGAAGATTAACATTTTTTTCAATACACAATCAATATTTTTTCTTTGGATTATTTTGTTTATTTTTTGTCCTTCTATTTTTCTTTGATTTTTTTGTTTCTCATTCTACATTCTTATATACTTGTTCAACATTTTTCAAATACTTGTTCAACATGTTCTCAAATACTTTTTCAATATTTTTATATACATAATCAACATTTTTTAAATATTTTTTCAACATTTTTCAAAAAAATTATACATGATCAACATTTTTTTGAAATAACATTTTTTCATATACTTGTTCAATATTTTTCAAGTACTTGTTCAACATTTTTCAAATTTTTTTTGAAGATTATTTTTTGTGATATATATATTTAAAATATTTTAAAGTATGAACACAATTAAAAAAGAAAGCAAAAAAGGTGAAAAAAAACAGGGAACAGGCTGGTGTTTTCCGCGTGCGTGACCTGGCCCAACTGGCTGTTCCCTTCAGCGATGGGTTCGCTCCTGGGTGCTTGCCCTAATCTTTCACCGTCGCGTAATTTTCGCAGAAAAGTCCAGACATACATTAGTAAGCAACCTACACTTCTCACGCAAAAAAATCAAGCTACACTTGAATAAATAACGTTTGCGTGTTGGGTCCACTTCGTTTTTTGTTCCTTCTGTTCATCTTGGTCTTTCCCGGTACGTGGAAGTCCCCTCTCAACGTGGCCTTTTAGACTAGTCACAATGGGTAACTTAGACTAGTAACATGCATATGTTATTAGTCTATGTTACTACCTCTGTAGTGGGAAGTAACATATGTGTGTTGTTATGCAACACTTCTTTTATTAGGTTATAGATTTATTTTGTCTTGATATGTGTGATACAGTAACTAGCTATGTTACCACATATTTTTCTTTCCTCATTAATTACTTGTCACATCATCTGTTTTGTCTAGAGATGTGTGATGTTATCATCTATATTACTCCCACTGTGGATAGTCTTAGTGTAGTCCAACTAATAATTGTAGTCCAACTCTTCGTCCCACGCCTCCTCTAATTTCTCTCGTAAACATCGGTTTAATACACATCTCCAAGGCACAAATCGCCGGCTGCAATAGTGACAGGCTCCCCATCTACGCCCCCGGCCTTCATGACATCGCCAAGTAGTGTCGCGACCGCAACCTCTTCTTCATCACCGGAGTGCAGCACAACGTCGGCGAGGCGGACCAGACTGGACGACATCGTCAAGCAGTGCCGCGGTCGCAACCTATTCTTCAGCACCGACGTAGGCAAGGTGGATTTCGTCTCCGTCTCCATCAACACCCCTCCCCCTCCCACCAAAAGTCGCGGCCTCGGCACCGGCAAGGCCAATGATCTCACCTGTTGGGTGAGCGCCGCACGCATGATCAGCAACATCTCCCACTCCAACAAGATCATGTTCAAGAAGTTCACCGTGCCCGTCAAGACCGCCAAGGCCATCGAGAAGATCCTCGCCCACACTGGCCGTGGCGTCCTGTCCAGCCCGGAGTTCCTCGCTGAGAGTACCGCAGTGTAGGATCTACACGCGCTCCACCTCTTCCTCATCGGTGACCGGGAGAAGCCCGACGGGGCAGGCCGCCGGGAAGGTCCTCAAGGACGTATACGCTCACAGGGGGCCCGAGGACCGCATCATCACCACCAACCTCTGGTCGTCCGATCTGTTCAAGCTCGCTGCCAATGCCTTCCTCGCGCAGCGCATCCCCTCGGTGAGCGCCATCTCCGCATTGTGCGAGGCCATCAGCACCGACGTCACGGAGGTGGCCTAGTCCATCGGAAGGACTCGCGCATCAGCTCGCACTTCCTGCCTTCCTCTCGGCCTGTGTCGGCTTGAGCAGCTCGTGCTTCCTGAAGGACATCCTCAACCTCGTCTACATCTACGAGTGCTACGGCCTCCCCAAGGTGGCGGATTACTAGAGGCAGGTCATCATCATCAACGATTGCCAGAAGAGCTGGTTCATCAACCGCGTCATCTCCTCCATGTTCAACACCGTCACCGCAAAGAAGGTGGCCGCGCTAGGGTTCACCTTCAAGAAGGATACCGGTGACACACGCGAGACATCGACAGCGGGCACCTCGTGCCTCTTCTGGTCCTCCCAGGAAGCTTCAAGGGTCTCTTTTGTTCAAAAAAAATCGTCGAAAAGTTTCAGCCCATTCCGAGAACTTTTATTTCTGCATAAAAAACAACACCAAGGTAGTTCTGCTGAAAACAACGTCAGTCCGGGTTAGTACCATTTAAATCATATAAAATTGCACCCAAACCATATAAAATTGTTGTAAACATGGCATGAATACTTCATAATTATAGATACTTTGAAGACATATCAGACACCAACGATCATTTAGATTAGGTATTAATTATACTCCAGAGCCCGCCTAGGACCGGTTTGATGTATTTGTAATGAAATCCGTCATGTTTACATGAAATCTAGTATGTTTATATCAATGCAGGCCATGTTTATATGAAATCGGGACTTGTTTGCACGAATTTCAT